CACCATCATGCCCAGCTAATTTTTGTATTTTTAGTAGAGACGGGGTTTCACCTTGTTGACCAGGATGGTCTCGATCTCTTCACCTCGTGATCCACCCGCCTCGGCCTCCCAAAGTGCTGGGATTATAGGCGTGAGCCACCGCGCCCGGCCTGATGAATCTGTTAATCAGTTACTTTTCGTTTATGGATCCATAGAGTTGTTATATTTTTTACATTTTTATATTTAATTTCCCTCCCTTCAAAAAAACCTATTTATATATACCTAGTCTGGTTTTTCGCAAGTTACTTCATTAAATCCTTTTTAAGTATTGGATATGTTAATATTTTTTGCTGTATTATTTCAAAACACAGCTTCAGATATGCTTAACTATATTTTCTCAGCAGCTCGTTAACAGTAAGTACCTTTCTTAGGTTGAGCTATATCCTAGGTATACAAAGTACACAGTTTGTCTGCTCTGTCAAATATACTGGAAAGGTATGATTATTGTTCCCATCTATCGTTCTAACCTTGGCTCAGTCCCCATACCCTACCCTGACATAACATCTTAAATGTAATTGTAGTAAGCTGATATACAGATTATAATTGAGCTTTTAAGTTTTACAGCTCAATGTTCTAGCTAAGTAGAAATAATAGTCTACTCCAGCATTGTCAAATAAGAATGTAATGCAAGCCACGTATGTTACTAAGTCTTCAGAAATCCAATGTGTATTTTATCTTTACAGTGTATATCAATTCAGACAAGTTCTCAGTAGCCACATTGGCTGGCTAGTGGCTACTGTAATTGGGTAGTACACGTGTAGTCAGGATATGAAAAGAAAAAAAATGAAAGTAATTAACAGGAAAACTGAGAAAGACATTTTCCATTTTTTTTGTTTGTTTGTTTTTTGAAACAGAGTCTTGCCCTGTTGCCCAGGCTGGAGTGCAATAGCTCCATCTCAGCTCACTGCAACCTCTGCCTCCTAGGTTTGATCAATTCTTGTGCCTCAGCCCCCCGAGTAGCTGGGATTACAGGTGCGTGCCACCACACCCAGCTAATTTTTGCATTTTTATTACAGACAGGGTTTCACCATGTTGGCCAGGCTGGTCTTGAACTTGAGACCTCAGGTGCTCTGCCCACCTCAGCTTCCCAAAGTGCTGGGATTACAGGCTTGAGCCACCACACCCAGCCAGTTTGCTTTTAAAACAGAATGTTAAGCAACATCTTGGAAATTAACAAGAATAGTTTTATCCTTGTTTTATCAATAACTTAAGATGTTTACATTTAGCATGAATGATCCATTTAAATTTTGAATTATTATTATTATTATTTTTTGAGATGGAGTTTCGATCTTGTCTCCCAGGCTATAATGCAATGGCACAGTCTCGGCTCACTGTAACCTCCACCTCCTGGGTTCAAGCAGTTCTCCTACCTCAGCCTCCTGAATAGCTGGGACTATAGGCATGTGCTGCTAAGCCCAACTAATTCTTTTTTTTTTTTTTTTTTTTTTTTTTTTTTTTTTTTTTTTTTTTTTTTTTTTT